TAGCTGCCTCCCACTGCTCTAAAAGTATGCAGATGAAGCAAGCCTCTTTCTCTTTGGGTTTTCCCAGTCCCACTCTCCCAATCCCCTTAATCCCAGAACAGTGGCAGGCTGTAAAGAATTTAGTTATTCACAAGGATGATGTGTGGGCTTTGCACTGGATCCCCAAGGTTAAAGCAGGCAGCTAGGACCAGGTGTGCACCCTGGCCCCTAGGAAACTTCTGTGGAAAGGTCCTTTGAGATCTTCTAGTCTGCATCTGCACTCCCTTGCGTTGGGATCTTAGGCAATTGTCCTCACCAGAGCTCATTCTCCCCATTTACTTTCAGAAACTGGAGTATGACCTTCAGTTATAGAGTCTTAATCCACGTGCTCCATCCAAAGGTCATACAGCGAGAAAAAGGCATAGCTGCCCCAAAAAACCGAGGGCCCCTACCCTCCAAGACCAGGGCTCTCCCAGGGCAGCCTGCAGCCTCTAGTGAGTCTGGGACACAGGAGAAGGAAGAAAGAGGGATTTTACTGCACTCTGGCATCCAGCAGCTTCTCCCACTTTGCGGTTCCCCACCTCAGCCACAAGGGTGGGTTCCACTTACCAGTTGAATAAAAACATAGGCGGAAAGAAGCAGCTAACACATAGATGATGGCCAGGAACCCGTTCAGAGGCCCTTCCACGCCTAGAAGCAGAGCTGAGGCCAGTCCAAAGGTGGTGAAGACAGCCAAGTCATTCAGCTCAACTCCTGCTCCAGAAGGCCAAGGTTAGAAGAACTTACACTTATATGTCTTGTACGTTAGTCCCTTCTGTGGGGAGCTGGAATGGTGACAAGCAGGGTCTGAGGTCCCAGAGGGCAACAGCTACCTAGAGTGATCTATAGATCAAAAACTGAGATCTCCTTCAAGCTCTGCCTCAGACTGACCATGTGGCCTTAGACAAGTCTTTCCCTGTCCAGGTCCTAGTTTCCCCATCCTTTCACGTACAAGGAATGGTCTACAACTGGATATAAATTGATAAACTATGGAATGTTTTTCAAGCAAACTCTTATGCTGAAATAATTTGTTGTATTTTAAACCAGCTGCTCTGCTTGGAGTAATTTTTCATTTCCCCTCCCCCCACCCTATCCCCACCACCACGACCAGCATTCCCGTTCCCAATTCCTGACTGAGCACTGAACAGGGAGGCAGAACAGACAAGGAAACTGAAAGCCAGAACAAGAATGGCCAGAGATCAATAAATGAGCCTGCAGAGGAGTTAGGTCTAGGTTGAAGGGCTCCCAACTCCTGCTCTAAGCCTGCTTCTGCTGTGCTTGAGGGGTGTGAACAGGTGACTGATGAAGGCCTGTTGAAGTTAGGAGATGGAGGAGCTGTCCCGACATGCATATTTCGGGTCAGGGATTAGGAGTCTGACTCCTGGACTCACCCAGTTTGGAACAGATGTGGAAGTGTCTGGTCATCCCTCTAATCGCCATGTCTAATAGGAAGCTGATAAGAAGCATCCAGGAGGCACAGTGGGATTTCCTAAAGTGTAGGCCAGTAGGCCCAAATGGGACAGCTTTCAGCCTCCACCAGACAACCACTCCACATACCTCCAATGCACCAGTATACTTCCTACCCTCTGAAACTAACACATTTCTGCTAGATCCCCACACTTACATCCTTTCTGATATACACTGCTTTACATAGCACACACACACACACACTCACACACACACACAGACACACACACACACACACCCCTACATCCTATCCATACTCTTAACCCATAGTTTTAATGGGGTACCCCAAACCCCCTAAGTAATCACAAAGATCCCTTCCAACTCTAAATTCCAGGCATATTCAATGGCACAGGGGTCCTAGGTTCTAGCCCAGCCTCTGCGGCCATCTTACTGTGAATTCTCGGATAAATAACTTCCTCCTTCTCTAGGCTGCTCTTCCTCTATCTGTAAAATGAGGAGTTTGTGCCAAATGATTTCTTTAATCAACATAGGCCTATTCAGAATATCTATTTCTCCTACTGTGAGATTCGATAGTTTAAGTCTTTTAGGGAATTGGTCATTTCATCTAGGCTATCAAATTTATGGGCATAGAGTTATTCATAATATTCCTTTATTATACTTTAAATGTCCATGGGATCGGTAGAAACGGCTCCTCTTTCATTTCTGATATTTCTTCCCAGTCTGCAGCTTGTCTTCTAATTCTCTTGATGCTGTCTGAACAGATTTCTCTTCTAATATGTGCATTTAATGCTATAAATTTCCCTTTAAGTACTGCTTTTACTGCATCTCACAAATTTTGGTAAGTTGAATTTTCATTTTCTTTTAGTTAAAAAAATTTTTAAATTTCTCTTGAGACTTCATCTTTTATCCATATATTATTTAGAAGTGTGTTGTTTAGCCTCCATGTATTTTGGGATTTTCTAGTTATCTTTCTGTTATTGACTTCTTAATTCCATGTGGTCTAAGAGCATACTTTATACAATTTCTATTCTTTTAAATTTGTTAAGGTGTGTCTTATAGCCCAGAATGTGGTCTTTCTTACTGAGTTTGAGAAAAATGTATATTCTGCTACTGTCGGATGAAATAGTCTATAAATATTAATTAGATCCAGTTGATTGATGGGGCTGGGCCATTCAGTTCAACTATATCCTTACTGATTTTCTGTCTGCTGGCTCTGTCAATTATTGATAGAGGGATGTTGAAATATTCAACGATGATAGTAGATTCATTAATTTCTCCTCACAGTTCTATCAGTTTTTGTCTCATGTATTTTGATGTTGTAAATGAGCCTCCAAGAGCTCTTTCAGACCCTATATTCGAGGATTCTATGCTTCTGTCCAGCACATGCTCCCAGACTCCTCTGAAAGCAGCCAACACAGTCTCAGGCAAACCTGCCCTGGGAGGCCATTCCCAAGTCTACACTCCAACTGCAATGCTTAGGTGGGCTCGCAGAAGCAGACAGAGAGCTGGCTACAGACATCAGCTGTCCCCAAACAACCTCAGTATTTCCTTTGCTTAGACCGATAACTCTGTGTTTAAAGGGATCTGGGCCCACCATTGTGGCATAAAAAGCACAATCCCAGAAGATTAGGCAGAACTAAGAAGATAAAGATTTTCTGCTGCAGGTATGCCCGACTTAAATAGATTCCAAAAGCCTGGTTTTAGAGAATCATAAAATTTTCAAACTAGGAGGGAACTTAAACATCATCAGGTAAACTCATTTTATGGGTAAGAAAGAGATCCAGAGAAGTCGCCTGCTTATGGTTATAGAGATTCAAACAGATTAGGAGGATGTTACTTGCATTATTAAGAATTTATCTATAAAGAGCTGGTTTGCCAAGGCATTGAATATGATTCAATTTATAGAAATATAATTAGTTTACAACTTTGGGGGACCCATATACATGTCTCAGATTTTCCAGAATAGTGCTAATTTTAAATAATCCACCAGATCATATGTTCTAATTTAAGAATCAAAAAATTTGAATGGTATCCTGTCTCCTCAAGGATTGTATAAAAGCTACCAGATAAGAATCTCTTGGTTTTTATCATAAGAATCATTCTGGACTGCCATAGCTGGAAGGAATTATAGAGATCATAGTATGAACTCCTTGTTTTAAAGATGGAGAAATTAAAACTTAGATATAACCTAGCCAAGGTCACATACCAGGTTGGTAGTAGAACTCAGGCTAGAACCTTGGCCCCTTGACTCCCAACCCACTACACTATACTTTCTCCTGCCCGCAGTTGATCCCATGCCTCAGTGCCAGGCTCTCTCCTTCCCTTACGCCTTTGGCTCCAGCTCTTGGCTGAGACCTTGCTGGGCTCCAGACTTACTCGCAGAAGTTGCAGAAGATGGAGAAGAGCCCCAGGATCATGTTGGCCAGGGACAAGGCATTGGTAACATCCTTCCAGGAAAATTCATTCATCTGGAGGTGACTCCGGTTGTTGGTTGGAAAGAAACTGGAATGCTGACCTGGGGCCCAGGGGAGGGGGGCAAGGGGTTCCCAAGGTCAAAGAGTCTCAAAAGAGGCTTCCAAGGACCAGGTAGCTCCTGTTCCCCTAGACCTCATCCCAGAACTGTACCCTCCCAACATTGTTTCATTGGCCATAATGAGGCAGATAGGAGGTAGATAGAGGAGACCAGGTGGTAAAGGCAAAGGTCCAAAGCTGAGTGTCTTGAGAAAGTCCAATAGCAAAGTGAGTGAACCAGCACAACCACAGTTCACACCCCTCTCTGACTGTACCCTATACCCTATAGACCTCCCTCCAGCCCATATGTTGACCTTTCTGGCACCCCCATGGCCCAAGGTAAAAGGGATATGGACCCCTCCCCCTTCTGAGAGACAAACCTTTTGTCATAGAGCCCTTTATCATAGATGAGACCTTTTTTTTTTTTTTTTTTAAATTACAAAGCTACTTCCAATACTTTGGGTTGAGCCCCACAGGAATGTAAAACCCTGGGAATGGGTAATGCCTTGACCTCAGGAAGTGGCCCAGGGGAAGAGGGGTTACCTGAGATGAGGGAAGCACAAAAGGGATCCACTGCACACTCAAGCTCCTTTGTTCGGCAGGCCATGCTTACTCCTTCAGAAGGGCAGGACTGTGGCCGAGGTGCCCCAAGCTCTTGGTTCCGATAGGCCCCAATCAGACCAGCAGTCTGAGCTCCAACATGGGAAGGGAGAGATGAGAAACAAACAAACAAACAAATGAATGTGTCCAGCACAAAATAGTTCACAAGGCACTTTTCATTGTGTGCTCTCTTCTGATCCTGACGACTTCAGAATATGGTGCTATAAATTCTCCCCATTTTATGAATGAAGAAACTGAGGTTCAGAGAAATGGAGATATTGGCTCCAAGTCACCTACTAGGTAAGTAGAACCTAATGCCACTGGGGGCATAGATCTCAGCAGGTTTGTGGGGTAGGGACAAAAGGGGAGTTCCGTGGGCCAGCCCTGCTGGGCAGCTACAGCCTCCTCATCCCTCCTAGTCTCTCAGGGAAGCAGGGAATCAGCTGGCCCTGCCCATTTTCACAGCCTGTCTCTCTCTATGTTTACTCTAGAGACAAACCTACGTACTCCTTGCACATGCACTGATTGTGAAACCAAGTTTCTTTTGGAGAAAAAGCCCCAGAGCTCTTTGAAACAGGGGAAGCCACACTGGTTTGATGTAAACACACTACCCACAAATAATAATCCTACACTTGAGTAAAAATATACAAGTTCCAAGGTGTTTTCAGGTCTGTCTCCTCATTTAATTCTCACTTATTTTAGAAGCGAGGAAGCTGAGATGCTGTCTCCACTCAGTCCCTCTTTACAGCCCCAATTCATTCTGGTCCAGGCGAGAGCTAAGACAAATCACATCCTTTCCCATAAACCTTGCTGCCAAGATGTCAGAGGCTGGGAAGGGCTGGACTTGAAGTGTGGGACTGGGAGTTTATCAGTGTAGTGCCATGCGCTTACTGCTCCCACAGGCCAGCCTCATTTGCCAAGGGTGTCCATGGTCACATCGCCAAAACCATTGGGACTCCCAAGACTTTGTCATGCCAGGGCCCTTCATAACCTAAGAGAGGGAGCAATGTGAGCCAAAGAAATATAGGAAGAGAGGGGGGCAAAGGACTGAGTGCATACTCCTTCCCCACAAACCCCTTCATCCTGGTCCCTCCTGAGCCTCAGGGCTGATCCCAGCAGACCAAACACCTCTGTTCCACATTAGCCCACTGTTACCTAGGAGAGCAGCATCCCAGCATCTCTGCCTCACAGAGGCAATCAGCAGATACCTGGGGTATGTCTATCAATTACCAGACATGCTTCATCTGTATTAGTTAGTTTACAGTTATTATTTTTTTTTAACTCAATGATCAACTGTCGGCTATGTTATCTCTTTCATTCACACAGCACTTTTACCTCTGTTGTTTTCATTGGCCCTGTGAGGTCTACCAGGTAAGGATCACTATCTCTACTTGCCAGGTTAAGATAAAGAAGACTCAAAGAGCGGAAGAACCCTTCTCAAAGTCACACCAGAAGTGGCAGAACAAGATTTACAACTTCTGTAAGTTTCTGCTGAATTCTGATGTCTGCTGACCAGCAGGACTGAGCACTGTATTTCTTATAAGTTCAGACTGAGCTCAGTGCTGGGAAAACTCTTGGTCTCAGTCTTCATGGAACTTCCAGGCTATCCAGGAAAACAAAACTCATGCATGCATGTGGAGACTTACTCTGTTCCTGGTGGTACCTCATCTCACAGATGGAGAAACTGAGGTTGCAGGATAATTAAGCAACTTATCCCAGTAAATGGTGGAGCCAGGATTGGAATCATCCCCTCTTTCCTAATTAAATGCTATCTTTAGTATAATACACAGGTCCCAGCTGTGAAAGGATATAGACCCGAGAGTAAGAGCTGTAGAAACCCAGAGAAAAAAAGGAACAATCTATTCATTCAGCTAACATCTGGTCGTGAGCAAAATTTGGTGCCTGGTGCTTAGGACACAGAGAGCATTACCCAGCATGTTGAGGGGTTTAGAGAAAGTTCCTCAGCGAAGGGAGTCAGAGCTTGCATAGCAGTGGCCTGCAGGACTAGATCATGTCACTCCTCAGCTTCTTAGAAGCCATCAGTGCCTCCCCAATGCCCTGAGGATGGAGTCCAACTCCTTCATTTGATATACAAGCCCTTCATGAAGAGGCCCTGCTCAACTCTCAGCCTCCTCTCTCTGCTGCCCTTTGACCCCTTCTCTGGCCCTCTCCCTGGCCTTGGATTGGGTGGCAATCCTCCTCGAGAAGCCTGACACCTGCCTTGAGCCTGTGAGGTGCTCCTCCTCTGCACTGCCACATCTCCTTGTGTGCACCATGTGACACTTGGCATCCTGTATTAGCATCACCTAGCTTGTCTTCCTCCTCTACTACAGCGAAAGCAATGCAGACTGAGGTCCCCTATGCTCAGCCTGAGGCCTGACAATAGAAACTGTTCCATGATTATTAAATTAACAGAGTATGTCACTCCGGTGCTTCCCCGTGATCCTCTCACTGCACCAAGCCACATCTGTATCCTGCATCAAAGCCTGGTCAGCTTGTCCTCCAGGAAGCCTTCTCAAATATACTCTCAACAATCCAGCTCCTTTAATACACGCAGCATCTACCCAACGCTTATGATTTTCCATTTACTCATTTAAAAATATATTTGCCGATGCCTGCTCTGTGCCAGGTCTGTGTGTTCTGGAGGACAAGACCCAGGCTATACTCTGAAGAAGCTCGGAGTCTGGTAGGGAGTCTTGTAGGGAAGGCAGGTGTGTGTAGGGACAGTGAAGGCAGTGTGGCAAGTGGTAGGTTGGACAAGGGGATGTCCAGTTGCTTCAGGTACACAGGGGAAGATGAGACTAAGTCTGAGTTGTAGGCAGGGGAAGTTTTCACTGATGTGATATTTATGGAGGATCTCTGAGGATGAACAAAGCACAGGTATTTCCTAGCAAACAAAATTGTAGGTGCAAAAGCACAAAGAGGAGGGCTGGATCACAGGGAGAGAGAGGGATGACTGGAGGGGATGTCAGAAGGGAGGCCACAGTTGTGATATGCCTGTGTGACCTTGAGTTGCAGCCTGTAGGTAGGCAGTGATATTTAGTAAGGGGGTGCCTTGGTCTGATAAGGGTTGCAGTAGAGAGTGGTCTGGAAGGGAGAAGGTGCAGAAAAGGAATCCAGCCATGAGACTGGTGAGTGAGGAGATGTGAGCGAGCAGAACTGGCAGGACACTGGAGCTGTTTGAGGAAGGTGAGGGGAAACTTGAGTTATTACCTGGAGGTTTCTCAAGAAAGGAAATGAATAGCAGAGCCAGGTCTTTGTGGGGAAATCCGGGGTGCAGCACTAGAGTAAGCAACTCCAGGTGGACTGCCCCAGCAGTCATGGGACACAGGGAGCAGTCACTCTAGTTTGAGATGCCCACCCCTCCCCACCTCCCGTCTACCTCTCTGCCCTGGAGGCCAACATCCCCCAACAACAGAGAGCTGGCCTTTCTGGATTCTGGTCCCTCTGAATTGGAAATAGCCGCGCTCCCCTTCCTTCCCTTCCCCGCCCGCTGTTCCGTGTCCAATCCAGAACCCACTCGACAGCAACGACCATGCCAACGCCAACCATGCGAAAAGATGGAAGAGAAGGAGCTGGGGCTTGGTGCCCTCACTTTGGGACAACTCCTTCTTCCAGAGACCTGATTGCCGACAGCATTCGGGGGAGGGACATGCGCTGCTGCAGCTGCTCACCTGGGGACAGGACATTCCTAGATGTTAGGGAGACCGCACTCATTCCCTGTTTCCGGTGCGGTGGAGAGGGGCCAGCCCAAGCGAGAGACAGCGGCACCAGTCCCAACCCTCTTACTACTACTAACTCTTAGCTCACAATCCCAGAGAGGCAGGGGAGGGGCAGCCAGACTTGAGCTGGCGGAAGAGGGACCTCAATTTGTAGGGAAGCCCTAGGTCTTGTAGTGGGCGTGGTGCGGATTGGAGGGATCTGAGAGGGAACTAGTTTCTCCATCATGACCAGCGTGGGAATGCGTGTCAGGAGAAGAGACAAGAGTGCATGCTTAGCGGGAGGTGGACTGAAGGGGAGCTGGAAAGATAAGGCTGTAAAAGGTCGCTGACGTCCAGACCCTAGAATGTAAGCTCCGTGGGGGCAGGGCATTTGTTCTGTGTGGTTCACGTTGTTTCTTTGTGCCTATGGGAATGCTTAGGCATATGGTAAGTCCCCCCACCCCAATATTTGTTGGATGAATGGCAGGCTGAATAACTTACACTCAGTCCTGAAAGTAGTTTTAAGTCACAAGTGACATGGTCAGGTTGTTTAGAAATATTATTCTGGCAGCAAGTGTAAAGAAAGGCTCTATAATACTGCATGAGAGATAAGGTTGGCTGGAGCAACAAATTGTTGGATGGCAACTGAAGGGAATGGGAAGTAACCAGACTAGGAGCTATGGTGAGATGGAATCTCAGGGGTGTGGGATGAGTGAGAGGGAGAAGGTAAGAGCCTCTCTGAGGTGTCTAGATTTGGCAACTGAATGAAGAGTGTGCTACAGAAAGGAACTTGTTAGTGTTGGGTAGGATCCCGCCAGTTTAACACTTGCCCCACATCTTCTGCCCTATCCTCATTCTAAATTAGAGCAGCAAGAGCTTCCAGGACCCCCCAGGAGAATATGCAGAGAGAAGGGGTGGAGCTAGGAGGTCAAGGGACATTTTGCTTTTCCCACACTTTGGTGGGGAAAGAAGAGTATAGAAACTGTATATTTTGGATGGGATCCTGAGACAGAAAAGGACATTAGGGAAAAACTAAGGGAATCTGAACAAAGTAAGGTTTTAGTTAAAAATAACGTCTCAATATTGGTTTATTAATTACAATAAATATACCATACTGATGTAAGATGCTACTAATAGGGACAATCACATATGGGGTAAATGGGGACTCTACTATCTCCACAATTTTCTGTAAATTTAAAATTCTTCTAAAATAAAATGTTTTTTAAATAAAATAAAGAAAGAAGGAAGG